ACCTAGTTTGTTAATCACATTTATGATTTATCAGTTTTTTTGTATACATTTTTTAGTTTTAAATTAAAAACAGGCAATATTTATGTCATCTGATGTGTTTCAGAAGCACGTTTCTTGGTATCAATGTCGTCTGTATAATATCTACCGTGATATTGATATGGTTCGTCCATAAGAATCGTCGAATCAAGGTGTTCCGAATCGCAAGTCCAACGTTTCTGATTATCACTCTGATCGGCTGCATTATCATGTACTCGGAAGTAAATATTAACGAAAATAAATTTAAAATACATTTTGATGTCAGATTTAAGTATACCGATATAACGTTACTTGGAGGAAGAGGAATAATTGACTCTAAAATCAATAATATTTTTTTGTTACTAATGCAAGAAAGAATAATCGTGAACACTTGAAACTTACCATGATATAATAATTATAAACGATGACATTTTCAAAATATTTTGACTGATTTTATGCTATTTATATAGAAATATGATACATAACAATGTATAGAAACTTTACATTTTTGAATTTATTTTATTTTTTCGATCCATGTTTGATAAGATTTTTAATTATCAATTAAGGTTTTAAAATAAGTTCATTCATTTCATAAGTGTTCTTAAAAGCATCAAAAATATATGGAGAAAGGCGCTTATGAGAATTTGAAACTCAAATGTTTTGATACAATTCGTTTAAAATAAGAAAAATTGCATATTTTTCTACATAGTTCGTAATTTATAAAATTGTAAATTTAGCTACCTAAAATTAGATACTTAAATACAAGTTAACATGTAAAGTTATTAATTATTATTACCTATATAATAAAAATATAAGACACTGGACACTGGTTATCACTATTTGGTTTTATTAATGTTTGAAGTTTCAAGCAAGTATTATTATTTATTATGATATTAAAATTAAAGATACTTAGGTTGTAAGTTTTGTAGTAAAAATTAGTTTAATTTACTAAATTAAGCGATTATACCCATAACTTAATAAATATAATAACATAATATAAATCACTAGAAACAAAGACTGTTGACAATGATTTATCATTAAATTCAATAATCAAATTTAACACATTAATTTAAGTGACCATCTCAATGACGAGTGATTATGATTAGAGTAGAGGTATATTTGAAACTATAACTATGCATCAGAAACGAGTTCTTTGGCAACATCCCTGAATCACTTCTAAAATTATACTCCCATAAATCAAAATAGAAATATATTCAATAATGTAGGGATCGATGACTAAAATAAAGTAAAAACATGATATATATTTATGCTGAAAATAGTAGTTCATTAGTTATGATTTTATATAATATATTAGATTATTATTTATTAAAATATAACATTGTGTATTTGTATTATTTTAATACCTATATAAAGTTATACCTAAAATGAATTATTTAATGTGAAACAAAACATAAATTGATGTTGTTTAAGAAAATCAAATTTCCTTTTATTAATTTTTGTGAATCTATTAAATATATTAATGTATGATATCATTCGCATGAGTATAGTAGTTTCCTTATTAAACAATATAATATGAACATGTAAATAGCGCACTAATCCACTAATCCACATAAACGTACTTGGTCCACTCTCGAGTGCAGCCGTACCTCAATCCACATTAAACAAATAATAAATTAATATAAAGTGTGGGCGTTTTTTTAAGAGAAACAGTGTTTGTATTTTAATGAGATATACAAAAATGAGTAAAGCACCATATTAAAATTAAAACATCGATAGGTACATCCAGACTTCAAAATCAATGTTACTTTCAAGACTTATTAATAAATGTGGTTTTCAACACTGAATCATTGACAGAAGTTATGTAATGTAATAAACTACGATTTATAATGCTATAACAGATTTAAAGAAATTATAAAAAACGATTTCCCCTCAACTTCCAACATATAAATTATACTTAAAATATGCATTATACGGACCACTGTGAGGATTAGCACCTCTCAGGTACACTAATGACTAATGTACAAACTATTACACCATAATATGTGCGAATATTAATAATTATATTAAATGATATATTTTATAGATGGGCATTATGTTTCCTGAATGCACTCAACAGTTGTGTGTGGCTACTAAATGGACACGACATTTCGGATTTTGCATAACATACTCGGCGCTGTTGATGAAGACCTGGAGGGTGTCGCTGACATACAGGGTGAAATCGGCACACAAATTGAAGCTCACTGATAAACAGCTGCTGCAGTGGATGACTCCAATATTGGTGATAATATTGGTCTACATGGGAGCTTGGACTCTTAGCGACCCGCCGCAAGCAGTACTGGAAAAGGAAAAGGAAACGAACCTGAGATTTTGGAGGTGTTCGAACGACTGGTGGGACTATTGTCTGGCAGCCGGTGAGCAAAATCAATCGCTATTTATATTAAAAATGAATATTAGTAGTGGTTGCCGGTTGGTACTTGGAAATTCGGACATTTTCCTCCCAAGTGATATTTTTGCTCAAGTCGAGTTATTTTTATCTAAAAGACGGAACGTGCATTTCGAGAAAGTCGAAAATATTCTGCGATTTGATCAGCCATTACGAATAACTGTATACGCCTGTCCGAAACAGTGTGAGGAAAATGTCCATTTTCTAGATTCAATGAAATATACGCGGTCGCGAGTACAAAATGACAAAGATGACAACAGTAACTGTATAATGTGATGACAATGTTCCTATAATATAGGAGAAGTGATGTTCTTGGCGTGGGGAGTTCGTGTGTGTTACGTTGTGCGGAACGCAGAGTCGTTTTACAATGAAGCGCAGTCCATCAACTTTGCTATCTACAACATATGCATAGTGAACATCATTATGATGACGATCCAGTAAGAACTTGGAACAATTAATGATTATCAATGTTGACAATATATTTTCTGCTCCATACTGTAGCTATTCGTTATTCCCAGAGCCCAAATGCTTGACTGGTAGACTGCTTTTTTCTATAAAAATATAACAACAATTTTTCAGAGAATAGACATAATTAAGTCAAGTAAATAGTCGCTTAAATGTATTGGTGTTTCGGGTTTCTGCCACTGTGCCACACTAATTAACTACTAATAGGGCTCTGGATATTGAGTTAAACGCTATAAACCTGTCTTATAGTTAGATATTAATTTGTAATTTAATTTTTGTAATTTGTTTAGCTTTTTTCTGTTTCCCGACATCGGTCCCAATTTCAAATACACATTAGGATTCATTAGAACTCAATTGAGTACTTCAGTGACCATAGCTTTGGTATTCGGTTCAAAAGTGGTGAGAGTATTGAACGGCCAAGGTGACCACTGGGACAACAAGCATCAGGCAAAAGGCCTAGTGTCATATGAGATGAATGATATATGTGAAGAAACCAATGATTTACAGACAGAAAATGAAGAACTCAAAGAAGAAATATTCAAATTGGCAACTCAAATAGGTCTGTTGAAAAATTCACTTATGCATGTGAATAACAGACACCTGAGAAAGAATGGTTGTCTGAGTTGCAATCCAATCGCTTCAAATCAACAGAGCCCTACAACTAAAACGGGAAGTTTTTTCAAAAGTTTGGGTTCCAATAGCTGTTTAGCGCCTTCAACAAGCGCTTAAAAATTGTTAACAATAGAGTAAAAGGAAATACTGGCTTTTAATTATTAATAAAATATTTACTTTACAAATATATATATAAAAAAAAGACTTAAACAATTTGTGTAGGTACATACACGCATATAATACAATTTAATTTATAAATATGTTTATAATATTTAAATATATAACGATCTAATACAATCAATCGTTAATTTTTGTTGAAAAAAAATAATAATAAAACAACGTAAATGGTTCTGGTAAGTTTGATTCTATTGCATACAAATAGTTATAATATTTCTGTTTTTTTTCAGTCTTATGCAGGTATTTATTTTTCATAAAAAAAAAATATTTATCCCAAATATTAGTTTATCATAATACAACTGACAATAAAAAATAACCCTAACTTAGAGACAAACAATATCAGATTATATGTGTGGTTTTGATTGTGATTATATGGTTAATTTTGATTATAATATAATAATATTATGATAAACTGTAGTCATTAGAAAGAAAAAAAATGAATGTATTTTTAGGACTAAACACAAAATACAAAATAGTCAATAAGAAATTCAAACAGTAAAGTCACACAATATTATTTTTTGTGACAATGATACTATAACTACATCGAGGTAAAATAGAAAAATGTACAATACAATACGTATAAGTTCTTGTAATCACAGTAAAAGTGTTTATGAAAACCACAATATCCATTAAAGTACCATAAAATATGTATACCAAAGGGCAAACATCAAATAAACATTGTAGACAAGACATGATAGAGACAGACCCAGAGCGAAGATCCAACCAATGCCATCCACATTTTGATTGTACACCACACAGATATTTATTTTGTACATTTTTAAATATTATACAATAGTAAGTACCAAGTCCATCTCACTTGCACTTATTGTTAAATTATCATTTATAGATAGGTAGTGTAAAATATGTATTATGTATACTGTATACTGTATACATATACTAGATATAATTTATTTAATCACCTATTTAGGTAATTAAACTATTAGATTAATCATTTCTTTAAACAAATGTAGAAACATAAGACATGTGTATGGTGTGAGCTTGAACCCTTAGGTCTGTTCTTTGACTAATGCCTGTAATTAATACTACTTAAAAAAAAAATGTTCATGATGACATTAACATTTTAAAATCCAGATTTACAGATACACAATTTTTAAGATCAATAAATATTAGATAAATCGATAATTTATTGATGCACCATCTAAATGGTATAGTCCATCTTTAGTTTATACAAACTATTATTTAACTCATTAATTATTTACAATATAATTAAACCAAATATACTAATTATAAACTATAAGTCGTGAACATAATCATACAAACAAAAAATTTACAAAAAAAAAGAAAAACATTTCAAATGTCTAGAGATCTAATGAGCCAAGTTCAATGGCTCTTGTAACTCCTGAACAGGCGTAGGTACACATTGTTCTTCAAAATTTTGAATGTTTGCCACCATTGTGACATCTACGTTGCTGGGTGGCGAATCAAACTATAACACACAAACATAAACTATTATTAATAAAAAACGGAATTTTGTGCATACGATTAAAAATTGTTTGCACAAGACACTGATGTTCATTAGTTGACCAGTGTCCCAGTATACAGTTTTCAGTATGCTGACCTTTTTCGGTCTACCTCTCTGCTTGGGTCCAGGAAGGTGAGCCATGCTAGCGTGCTGCTGCATAATGTGATATCTTAACTTGTCTGACCTCGAGAAACTCTTTGGACACTCTGTGCACATGAATGGTCGTTCTCCTGTATGCGTCCTGTGGTGACGTTGTAAATGTGATAGTCTCAAAAATGACAGATTGCAGAATGAGCACTGATGGGGTTTCAGTCCGGAATGGGTTTGCATGTGACGCCTAAGATTTTGTTTGTTCAGGAACGTTCGTTGGCACGTCGGGCACTCGACAGACCCAGTGAGGTTAACTTTGTTTTGGGCCTCCATAAAGGCTTGAAAATCTACTTGGGTCGGCTGATACTTGGGTTGCGATAGTATTGTGGGTTTGTTTTCGTCCGTATGTTCGTCCATCATCACTTGAGGACTTAACATAGCTGAGTGCTCGAAAGATGTATTATTATCTGATGAATCGTCCTCACAAGGTACTTGGAATGTCCTGGAATCGGTGTCAATTGAGCTGGTACTACCATTTGTCTTTACAAAAAAATAAAATATGTTTTATTTTATTATGTATTAATTTAAAGACTGTAACAAATATTGAATTATTTACCATTTCAAACTTATTACTGGCATCTGGATCAGAAGGTTCAGATTTAATTGGTGTATAATTGAAGGTCGGCTTATGTTTCGATTGATCGTTGGATACAGTTTTCTCTGACAAACCTAAAAATGAATTATTATGTTAAATAGTTATTTTTTTAAATTTAAAATTAAACATTTTAATTAACCTTTGATTTGCAACTCTCTAGCGACTTTTAAAAGAGAACTCAAAGCGCTCTCTTGGACTTCAACAGAACCCACGTACATATACTGGCACAGGCTCTGCATCTCATGTAAAGTAACACCTCTCATTATCACCGTAGGATGTTTACAAGGATTCTCTTGAAAAATCGTCTCAAAGTATGGACTACACGCAGACAAGATTAGCTTATGCGCCTAAACATAAAATCCATAAAATATTCCCGTTAATAATAATTAGAACCACTTATTGTAATTAATTTAAAATTATTGTAAATTTGAAATAACATACCCTCAATAGGCCATCTTGGCAAGCAATTGTTACATCGACGAGAATTTGTTCGTTAAACAGACACTCGAACAGTGCGCGTAAATTTTCCAAATGATTATTCCACCGGAGATGAAATGATTTATTGCCGACTTCCATGTCGTTGGTCATCTAAAAAAAATGTATTAATAAGTATATTTGTTTTTAACTTTATAGAAATATAAACGATACATTAATTTTCTTTAAAACAAACATTCTGTTTTTTGGAAATAGTAAAATTCTCACTTATTTCATTTTTATGCTTTATTAAGATTAGTTTTTTAGTTAAATAAATTATTATTTTTGAATTTTCACAGAGTTTTGTTTTAATAAAATGATTCAAGTGCAGAGATAATTATAATTTTATAATAACTATAGTATTTCTGGAAGATTATTTTTCAAGGTGGGCATTATTTCTATTAATTATTAGTCCCAAGTAATTAATAAATTAAATGCTAATATTACGATGTGTACAAAATACGATTGGATATGAGACACCCATTATGAATTTCACGATTAATAGACAAAATGTTTTTAATGTTTCATAAACAATTCCCGCTGTTTCGTTCATTTTAATATACGCGTAATATAACGAAACATTGACTAAAATTTTGGTCACCCCTGCGAAGTGCCCGGGCATCATGCCGGGGGGCCTTGGATTTAGTATGTGTATATCTGTGTATATATTCACTCACACTTATACACACGTACACAAGCGAGACGCGAACATACACCGTGTGCTGCGGAAAGGGACGGGTGTACGGTTGGGGGCGGGCACGCTACAGGCGGGGGAGCCGGACCTTTTTGGATAGACCTGCTGCATGCACGTCCTGACTATGGGGCAACATTATAAAACCTTAGCGAGGGTCCCGCATGTGCGCACCAACGCAGTGGCTACAGTTTAAAAACGTTCACGGCAATATTCAGCTGATTGAATGTAGAAAATCAACTGTTTCCCCCCGAAGTTAGTTTTAAAATCTAAAACCAAAAATGTGGAGATTATAGAATTTGTAACTTTTGTTGGACTATCGGTGTCGGGCAAAGAAATTCAGTTCAATGATTTAATAACGTTGGTAAATTTTGATTTTTTTCCATCAATTCTATAAGAGGACAAAATCATACAATTTAATTCAGTTATATTAATTAGTCGATTGTAATTTGTTTATGTACTCAACATAATTTCAGATAAAGTGTAAACGTATGCTAATTTAATTAAGCCAATGGCCATAGTCACCAAGGCCTTATTTAATAACAATAATAATAGTAATACAAAATTCAGTTATAAAGCCTAATATAATTAATTAATAAACATACATATTTTATATTAAAATATTAATTTTAATTCTTATGGTTTTGCATTGATAGGTACTCTATACTTTTATAGGGATAAGCTATTTATCTAAATTATGATTTATGTGTGACCTAGTGACTCAGAAATTAAAACTAATAAGATATGTTTTGATGTTACACAAACGTTTTATTTTGATGTTATAATATCATCATAGGTTATGGTATACGCCAACAGTCAACACACAAGTAACTATTTTAGATAACAAGATGATTCTATATTATGTATGAATTTTAATACTTTTGAACAATCAATAAAAAGGTATGATTTTTATCTCTCAAGATTTAACAATTAAAAAAAAAACGAATGAAATTGGTTGCAATTTATAAATGTAAAAGAAAACAACACTTGGAACTTAATTTATTACAATGTGTAAAAGCAAATCACATCGAGCCTACCATTAGTCCGTTGAACGGAATTATATGACATTTTATTATTGTAATTTTACTAACAAGTGATACTGAACTTGGCTCTTCGATCTGGCAGTTCAGCAACCCTTTTTAGCTTGAAATAATTTTTTTTTGTTTCATGTGTGTGTAGGGGGTAGAAAGTGGGGGAGAACTGCCACGAGGGAACCGTCGTAGCGATCGTTAAAAGCGCGGGCCCCGTATATACATATATATACGCGGGCGCGCGCGCGTGTGTATGTGCGCGCGCGCGTTGTGGGGAGGGGCAGCGTGAAAGGGGGATTAAAACAAGGGGGACAGACCCTTTGCTTGGTGACTCAGTGGGGGTATAGGGGGAATCCACAGTCGATAATATTGCACGAAATAATGCAGGGAGAGCCCACGCCATGGAGGGTGAATTGGAGGGGAGAAAAGGACGCGGACCAAAAGCTATGATGGAAAATTATGATTTTTTTTTAGAAAACATTCGACGAAGAATTCTTGGACTTTGAGTCTTTGATGAGCAAAACTATTGTGAAGAGCCAAAAAAAAAATTTTATCCATTAATCAATTTCTACATTTCTATTAAATCGGGGAAAATAAATAAATAAAATAAAAACGTCCGATCTCAGTAGGTGGTGTCTATTGAAGGCAAATCGTGCTGTAGATAGCTTGTTTCGGCATAACAGGTATACCTACGTATTTAATTCATGACCTGCGATTGTTATTTTTGTTATGTCTCGGTATCATTAGTGAACAGTGTGCTGTCCCTTTGCCGGATGTTTAGTAGTGTCTGCAGACAGACAAACAAAAAGTAAGGAAGAAGAAATACGATTTAAAACACGTTTAGAAAGTATGTTGACAGAGTCGTACGTATTGATGGTTGTACATATTTCACACAAAAATGTATTGATTTATTTGCACTTCATTTCTCTAAGTATGAACAAAATAAATAATTATATTTATTATATATGTTATATTATATTGAAGGTGCTCTAAATGCAATTCTCTTATGATTAGTTGGTACATTTTTTTAGATTAAAAAGACGATATAATACATTAAAGCAAGTGATATAAAGCAAAACTTATTGTAGTGACAGTAAATAACATACATTGATAATAATAACTTAACCTATCAGATTTTAGTATAATAATTAATGTAGTAATAATAAGTGGTAATTTTTGAACAAAAATTATATCAAAAAACTAGTATGTCAACAATTTTTACGTTGCCCTGGTAACGTCTGGAGTGAAAAAATAAAAGCTCAAGCATTTTTTTTTTACATTAGAGCAGCCGAAGGCCATGTATTTTTAGACCCTGCATTCGCGTTCGCAGCAGTATTTCGGGGCGGAACAGTTATACGACGTCGCCTGGGGTCGGGCACCACGATGGGGGGTTCCCAGTAGTGGATGGGGTTACCGGGCTTGTAAACGGGTGGTGGGGTGGTGGGAGGGGGGTTGTATAAGGGACTTCCCTCTAGGGGTCTTGTTTTGTCCGTACCGGCACCCCTGAATGCGTATATATCTCCCCCACGATGTTGTGAAACACAATATCGACCCGTCGACCAAAACGCTCTCTCCGCTCATGTATATACAGTGCCGAGTGAGAAATAGAAGGGGAGGAGAGAGAAAAACCCTCGAAGGAAGCCCCTATACGCGAGATTCCAGGTATTAAGTTTGCGAGCCGTAAGGAAAGTGCGTGTAGGACGCTCCCTTCGATGCTATATATAAGGCAGTTTTAGAGCTTCATATATCATCAAAGACTTTTAGGATTTCAGAAGAGAAAAAATTCCCAAAGACTAAATTTGAATTGTAAATATGAAATATTAATTTATTCAGACAATAACTTTAAAATCATCTAAAATATTACTGTACGTAAATACACTCATTTATTTAGAATAAATAGCAACTTTAATGACTCTTAGAATTGGTATTTAAATTTGAAATTAGGACAGCGTTCAGCTGAGTTAGTTTTTAATTATGTAAATTGGGTACATCAAATTTTACTCGACGCTCGTACTATGTACAATAAAAGTATAGTCCACAACAAGTTATTCTATTATAAAATATATATACATAATAGTGTAAGGTTGAATAGTGAATTCATGAGATTATTTTTTAATACAATTTATACCGAGTACTTCGATTTATGAGTACCTAACGGTTTTGATAGTAATACTTGAAGGGTAAAGTAAAAAAGTTTAAAAAACTTGAAAGTTAGTCATATAAACTGTAAAAGTACCAACAATAATCAAACATATAGTTCTAAAGTATGAATGTATTTTTGTTTTACGTATAATATTATGTACGTTCCTACTGTAATCTATAGTCGTTCGTAATAAATTTATTTTATTTAATATAATCATCAAATAGCCGGCTATTGACATTTGACAGATTAGTAGTAATTATTTTATTATTAATATTAAACCAATATCAACGTTGTAAATTGTGTATCAATAAGTAGCTAATACATTGTAGGTTTATTATATTTTGTGGTAGTGTGGTTAGTCTATCGGTTAACATCTCGCATATAATATGTTATTTTAAGGCAAATTCAAGTAAAACTATCACATTACCTATCACAAATAACAAATTCACAATAATTTTAAAATAATTGAAAAATTAAAGTTGACTTGCTCCAATAAAATATAGTTTGTTAATAAAAAATTAAGAAAATGATTATAGATTTTAAAAACATTAAATATATCATTTAAAAAAATGTATTATCCATATTTTATTATACACGCATATAAATATAGACTTATTATACATGTGTGTATGTATTATAAATAAATAAATAACATGCTAAATGAAACGCATACAGGAATGGTTTTTTCTAAAGTAGATAAAGATATATTTTTCCCATTGAAGCATCAATGCAGGATGTAAGTTTTCCGTTTCTTTATTTTTTTATTCATATAATAATTCGGTGTACATATTTTTATGTTGACCAATGACTTTTTCACAGTCATTACTTACCCAACACTAAACAGAGTATTTAAATGTTTTTGTATTCATAAATAACACTAATTTAAAAACTATTTCAACATTAAATTACCTATAATAACACTGAAATCACTAAACCTATGTATATAATTTTATTTAGGTAAGTACATTTTAATTAGAATTAAGGATTGCCATTTTATACAAAGAAGCATTTTAAAATTAAAACAATTAATTTAATTGGCTCACATTTTATGAATATTAGTTATTGGAGGCTGGAAAAGGTGATATTACGTTGTATCTAAACATATTATTATATTATGTACAATAATATGTACATACTATTAGTGTATAATATGACCATTTAATAATATATAGATGCCTATAATAGCCTACGAGTTTTTACATATTACAAAAACAATATTATATTTCTATTAATTAATTAATTAATTTTAATGTGACGACTACCGATAACTATAGAGGCTCCCAGTCCGCGTAGACCACAACAACGCCTTAAAAGCTTATCAGTTATCACAAATAAAATGTAAATTATCTGTTTTCTTTATGGCAAAATCTTAACAATTACTAAAATATTTGTACACTGTAGGTATACACCATACACCAGTGTTATTATTTATTTAATTATTTACAGCTACGTTTAAACCAACTATGTTACACGTAAATTAGATTATTATAAATACGAATGAGGCGAATATCACAAATCTATAGTACACCAATATTACACACGTATAACCAGTTCTACATACGGTAGAATGTAGAAATATAAAATTGATGAAAACAAAAAATTTGGCCTATTTTTTTAAATCTTTTATAATTACAAGCGTAGGTATATTATGTTCTGGACATGACTACAAGGTCTCCGCTAAAATTATACCCATTTTACCTTGGGTACTGCAGACTACAGTGGATATCGAACACAACAGAAAACACGAATGTCGCGTAGATAGAATTACTAGATAGTAAACATTCCAATAACACATCGGACGTAGGTACACGTTGACCGACCGATTCAAAGAGAACGATCGCTACGACTACCCGAAACGTCAATCGACCATTTTTGCTTGAAATACGATGTTTGGACGATATAATAGCTGGGAGATTTGTACCCACCTATGTATTTATAATATTTCGTAATGATTGCTGATTGCAACTCGTGTAAATGGAAATTTGTGGCGATGACAAACGAGTAAGTGACTTTGGGCGACGAAATAACGCGTTTAAGGCCAACTGCATTGCGCTTGAGTATATCCCTCTCGCTCTTCTCCTTTACCCCTAACGAGAACGACACTTATATAATGGTATATCAAGTGGGAGACGGGTAAGGACTATATGTCGTTATCATATCACTACTCACGCACACGCACACACACACACCATTTGCTCGATAATTAACGGACCGATGAGAGACGACAATGATAATACAATCATAAGACGCAATAGGTAGATACACTATACTGGACAAACTATCGATGATTTACGGAGTCGTTGTTTCAACAGACAGAAGATTTGCCGCCGATTTTCACGTGGACAACAGCGGCATTGTGCAACAGCCGAACCCGAACGTCCTTGTCACGCAACTTAACTTTATATTATTATTATTATAGTAACCAGTGATCATCTCAAAACCACCTCATATACATAATACGTGCGATTATATTATTAATATTATGATTAAGGTCTGGGTCCCCCGTCGCCACTGACAGACAGTGCGGTAAAAAAATAAAATCGAAACCAGTTTCGGGGGGACCGGTCCACTGGCGCGCACGCCGCCGCCTAGTGATGTCAATATACTATCCTAGGACAATGTGATACAGTGCCGCGGCTGTCCATGTGCTTTGCGTCCGGACCGTAGCGGAGATAACATATTAAATTATAATAACAAAACATTGTGCGGTGATAACACGCACACGTGCAATCGGTTCACCTGTTGTATAGCCGTCCGTCGGATGCAATGATCCGCGAACTGCCGGAAATAGCCCGTCGGTCCGGTCTTCCGATTCCGCGGGTAAATTATAATATGTCCACAACAATTTTTTTTTAATCAGGAGTGGGTATTCTCGATCTATATACGCGCGTATCCATACAACAGTGTACCCACAACATCGCGTACTAGCCCAGCAGTGCCTTGGTGTAATAATCAAGGCTGCACTTCTGGGCTAGTATTATACGCAAGTTACCTACTATGACACCCGTGCGATACCGACACACCTATATAGATATATTATATCATCGTGTATAATATGCTATTATTGACATTTAGAGTACACCGAATGATACAAAAATAAAAATACATAATAAACATATCGAATAGTATTACCTCTGTTTACGGCTCCTGGGCGACGCAGACGAATATATGCGATATAATATTAATAAATATCAACAATTACGGTACGATATAATACGATAACAATTATTATAACATAGATAACTGATCGAATTTAACCGGTGCTAGGCGTTTGCGGCAGGCAGGCTGGTGGGCGGGCGGGGACGTCGGCAGAACGCGCGTGACACGATTCGCACACGTCGAGAACGTTACTGAATTTCACCACCACCGCCGCCGCCGCCGAACGTACGTGCACGCCGTGGTGCGGCCGCCGGCAACCCCCTCTAGGGTACGGGTCGGCGGCCGTGACGTCATGTGACGCACGCGGCTGTATATGCGCCGTCCCCTCCACCGCCCGCACGGACGCTCACACGCACGCACACCCACCGAAAACCCCCCTCCCATACCTTACATCGAAAAGCATGGTGAGGGAGACCCCCCCCCCAAATGGACGGCGGAGACTTGGCGCCTGTACACAACACACACACACACACAAACGCGCGCGCGCAAACACACACACACACACATGAACACACGCGCCTCGTTCGTACACACACACACACACACACACACACACAAGCACACCCACACATGCACTCGGACGGTGGCAGGTGCACACTGCGGTGGTGGGTACAAAGGGTCCGGACTCACCCGAACCCCTCCGACGACGACGACGACCCCAAACGCCCACGCCCCTCCGACCAGCGTCGGAAAGTCGGCGGCTATTTTCGGGGCACGCACATATAACCGGTTTTCCAGTCCGTTGGCTCGGAGACCAGAGTACAGCGACGTGCCCGATGAGGGGACGAACATTTTCACCGGGGTGAAAGGTACTCGCACTGACATGGTCAGAGGGGGTGTCTATCCACCGACTATCCCGCAGCCACAGCCGACTATGTTATAAAACATGCTCGATAACTGAGTACTGAGCTATAATAGTTGTATGATAATGACGACGATGATGATAATAATAATATTTTTTAATAATAATATCACAATATACCTGTAGTACCGACCGATATTACGTGTGGGCAAACAAGATATCGCACCGATCGGTTCGTAAACGGCAAATAATTAACGGGATGTAATGATTAATGAAACATCACTGCGTTTTATATAGATGTTAAGGTAAGTTAACCGCAGATATAGGAAAAAGGTAACTTCACTGTGGTATGATCGCAGATCGACTTCTGTGTAGAAAGTATAGTAAGCCCAAGCACTCAGGTATCAGGTATGTATAGTGCACAGTGGTCTGAAACGTCCAAAGTTTTTATGGTTTTTTAATAACGTGTATTATTTACACATCCTAGGGAATATCGATACAGAGTTACGACCGTCTATAGGTCAAATTTCAAGAAAACAGTACTACAGTAGCATTGTTCGCAAGATGTTTTCTTTTTTCAATCTCCATCACGTCGAATTACGTTGTTTTAGTTGCCGTGTTCTCCTGTCGTAATTAGACTACATTATTTTTATAACCATTCATAATTTTTATATAAACGATGTGATTATCTTTAAATAACAAAAGAGACACCCTAACTAAAGTTTTTATTTTGTTTTTCTATTTTATATCATACTAAAAATATTAAACAAATTATTTTCGACGTTTTTGTATTTGATAAAGAGTACCACTTTAAATTACAAAGTTCTTTCATTTGTAGTACAAATGGAAATAAATAGAGCAAATTCTCAGATATTCAAAAACAAATAATATCAAATGTTAACAATCTCGGCACACAAATACCATTTTTATAAAGAAAATGTGGGTTTAAGGTTATCACGAAAACCAGTATTTTAACAATTTGTCGACATTTGCGACGTGGGTAATTTTTCAGGCAATCTATTATAATAACATTATGTTACTTAAAAGTATAAACGTGATAAGATATTAAGATATAAATTAACAACTAGGTAATTACCCGTATTAGACAAAATGTGCACTTTAATAATATGTACCTACTTTACTTTCAACATAGCTTACACGTTTTATAACTCACATATTAAGTTCCGTATTAACCTTGTATTAATACAATTTTTAAAGTTTGTATTAGGATTTATTTGTCTGATCGATACTATTTTTCGACGATAGAAATCAAATTAAAAAGTAAGAACAAAGTAATTAATATTTAGGTTTATATTTTAACCAAAAAGTCATATTATAAAATCAAATTAAACAATTAATTAATGTTAGTAAAATAAATAATTTTTATGGTTAAAAAGTTTGTGTTAATATTTAAATTTCTTCAGTAAAATCAAAAATTAAAAAAAATAACGATAGGTTTTTAATTCGGGATATTGTTGAAAACTTAAAAAAAAACAGTTCTTTACAATCGATTATATCTGTTAATAGTGGAAAATTTATATTTAATTTCATGCAATAATGTTTCAATAGTTGTATCTGAGATAGTAAATAGATACATCGAGGGTATATGCATACTAAATGCATTACTTAAAAGTTAAACTGTAAATTGTTCGATAGTCTTTTCACAAAAATGATTGAAGTCCAACAAACAATTTGATAAATTTTATATTATGAATAGTGAGTGGCTATAATCAAAATTCCTCCACTAAAACCACAAACTTAAGTTTCCAATTCTGCAAATCAGGGCTTATTTTACGTATTTGGAAAAGCTAGACACGCACTTAATAATCAATTTTTGAGTAACTGATTTTCCATAATTTAATATTATTAATTTAAGATAAGACAGCAATTAGTAGTTTCTACAGGTATAAGAACTTATTTGCAATAAGAAAATCATTTTATACACCTACCTGCTTAGTACATTAGTGAATAATGATTAATAATTGTATATAATTTAAAAATGTTAACTACTAAACTATGTTTATTAATAGAAATCGTAGGCAAGAGCACCACGATTTAGGGTTTTCTATGAATACGTAATACCGAAAACCGATAAGAAAATCACTGATAAACCGGTTGCCGACGCATGTGGACTATTATATTTATAATTATTATATGTTTATTATAGTAGAGTACTGTACTACAGTTAACTATTCGTTATCGTTAATAATTTTGTTATTGGCATTTATTTTCCCATTCGGTAATAAAACGATCACTAAAGACTGAACGACAGCCGGCAACGACGCGTTTTCAGTAAGCCGTAAGTAAACAAAATTTATAATACTGGGTCTATACACGGGGTTTCCGTTTCCCTTTTTGTAAATTAAATTACTAATATTATATTTAAATAGTTGTAGCCGCAGATACACGATGATAATGATACACAATCATAAGATTTGGTGTGTTGTTTATCGGTCAAATCTTGAATGGAAATATGTAAGATCTACCGTAGTAGAAACTAGAAGTATCTTTTCTTTTTTTTCTTTTTTTTTTATTTATTTATAAAGTTTTCCTGACAAAATCATCTAAACTTAGTTATATAAAGAACAAAAAATTTGTTTGGCTATTTATAAAAAAGATATTAACATAATATAATGTAATAATAATTAACTAGGTTGAAGATAGGCTACTTTAGGACATCATGGGGACGACCACGTTTTAGTCTTCGATTGATGGGGCCGACATTTAACCCGAAATGCAGTGGACCGCTTGCTTTGCGTAGATGACAGAAGAAACTTGCCGATATATCCTTTATGTAGTTCTTAATAGTTGGTAAATTGAAGTCGGTGTGCATCGAGAAACTAGAAGTATCTTATTACGTAAGCAAGTTAGTAGCAATTTAATGCTTTTTTCCACAACTCGGCACATTGAACTAGAGAACTACAACAACCGTAAAAGGAAAATCATTTACAACTAATAAGGATACCAACATTTTTGGCACTGCCAAAAATGGGGTGTCCTGTAAAAATGTTGAAGAGTCTTCAGAACAAACTAAACGTCGAAAAATCAATAATTTGAATGTATCTTGGAAATACAATTCGTATGATGAAAGTAATGCTTTAAAATTAAATCAATTTTTTAGAGACATAAATTTAACATTTAAATCTAGAACAGTTTTAAAAATGTTAACTATACTCGTAACAATATTCTAAAACTATAAATATTAAATAGTTAATATGTTTATAATGTCGTTAACTATTTTATATTTTTATATAACTATTAACTCTTGTTATAAATTTAATAATCAATAAATATCTGTCATATTAAAAAATAAATATGTTTCTTAGTAAATATATTTTGTTAAAATACTGAAAATAAAAAATAGTATTTGTGCAGATCGTTTACTAGCGCAAAAACAAATAATTGTTTTTGAATTGCTGAAAACTTGCTCTATTATTTTCCATTTGTTCTACAAATAAAAAATTGCTTAATTAGAAGTCTGAAATAGTGTCTTCCCGAAGTAGAGTTAAGACTCTATGTGTAATGAATCCACAATCGAAAATCTACTTCATAAAATATATTTTTTTTTTTTAAAGTTTATTTGTAAGCTTTAAGTCATCATTTTTTTTATTAAGTTACGCTGTGATTTGTTTTTATTAATAATTAAAAAGACTGGTACGAATCCGTACGTTTTGTCACCTTCATACAAAGTTACAAACGTACTGAATTGAAAATCTTCGTTCAGCAGAATTTAGTTTATGTCGATAGTTTAAATATTACAGTTAATTGACTTGTTATCAAATTTAAAATTATATATATCATCTAAGGCACATCCACAAGTCTATTGTCATTATTTAAACTTTAAAGCGAGTTATGAGAATTTTAAAATTGCATTCTTTATTTTACATATTTAAGACTCAATTTAAACTTTAAATATCATTAGAAACCTATAAGATATTAAGATGCACTACATAATTCATATATATATATATAATAATTAATATATTATAATGCTCGATTAGAATGCTGGGTTGATAAATTGATTCACTCTAATATAGCTAACCGCACAAAATGCATTGTGCTGAATGAACATTTACGATGTTTTACGTTCGTATACGGAGACAACACATTTGGTACCATCAGTCTTCTTAAACATGTATGTGATTACAAAACAAACATTTTAATGATCTTATCTCAAAAATTGATGTTAAACTCTGCTTTAATGATATTGTAAAATACCTATTGACTCATACAAACATTTAAACTGAAATTGTACTAATTAAAAAAAAAATTAGAGTATTCGCTCTGGTGTATAGTAGGTATTGAGAGTACCTCGATCGTCATTAATAATAATTGAAGTTACTGTAATGTGTGTGGTATATAAATATGTGTATGAATAATAGTAATAATAGTGTATA